TTAATATATTTAACGCTCCGTGTTCGCTCAGCGCCGCTGCACTTTAGAGCTGTTTAACTTTTAACTTTATTTAATTACTCATGATACTAAACAAATGCATTTAGGTCTGACCCTGTCCAGTAACCACGGATACGAGGAAAGTCACTTTAGTTTGAGGCCAGATTAATTAAGTGTAATTAATGTCACTGATTGAATATTTTCTGTGATAAATACCAACAGATGAATCCGTTTCCAGTCGGTGCTCTTTTAGCCACAGCAGCAGCAGAATGAAGCATCAAAACATTTTCATGCTCTTTCTGGCTTCTCTGTTTTTTTCCACACAAAGACCTCAGAGCAGCTATTTATGGTGCACAACTGGGTTAACAGTGAACATGTCAACCGGGCTGACAGAGCAGCATTTTAATTACTCTGTTATGCTATATCCAGTTAGCAGGTCTTGACGTGTGTGATGAACATGTTGCAGGCCTCATGACATGTTTCAGTAGATCCCCTCAGCGCAGATCAAACCCTCTCCGTCGGATCGCTGTCATCGCTCCACTTCAGGAGAATTAGTCGTCCAGCAATCAGAGATGCAACAGCATTCAACTTATGTTTTGGAAGGTTAGCTTCATCAGCAGCCACGCTAAGTATTGCTGTTAGTGGTGACTGATTAAGACAGAGCTCATCTCTGTTTGCGCATTATCTGCATCACCGCATGAATGCATGTAGGGTTACCATGGCAACACATACAGTTAGCTCACCGTGACTGCACAGCGTTGTCCAGTAGCATTAGCTACGTGCAGCTACATAGGTTTAGAGTCTGTATTGTTCATAGATGTTATCATCAGGAACATAGCTGGTGTTAAGGAGACGATTAAAACCTCTGAAACTCTGAACAGAACCTCGTCTGCAGCATCAGTTGCCATGGTGATGTAGCAGGCTAACAGAGCTACCTGTGTGACTCTGAAAACTCTGATTCCAGGTTCAACATACGTAGCTAACCCAGGAGTTTGACTTCATAGCACGCTCCTCTGACTAAATGCCCCGCTGGATGTTCTGCTCATTCACGTGGCTGCTGGTCCACATGAAGAAACCGGTCGCCCCGCATGAACTTAAACTTTTAAACGTTTTGTCCAGATTAAGCCAGCAAGAGTTTAGTCCTGTACCTCCTCAAACACCGGCTTGTTGTTGTTGACGTCGTCGACCCCAACGATGACCCTGGCGCTGGAGGACAGCGGGTGCGGGCCGCCCGACGCGTTGTCGTCCGTGGCCGTTACATTCAGGACGTACTCTAAGCCTTGAAGCTTGGGCAGGGGAGTGGAGCGGAGACGGATCAACCCTACAAAGAGCACAGACCCATTAAATTACACATTATAAAATATGGTCCATCCTAACAGAGCACGTACAACTATTCCATTAGTCATTAAGCAGGATGTTATTGCCACTGTGGCCTCGCGTACTGAGGGATGTGCTATCAATAAAACACACAGGAGAGAATGCACGCCGCATGCTGTTGTTCTAGAAATGGGCAGCGAGATAGCGAGTGGTGGAAATTCACCTCTGAAGTCCGCAGAAAGGTAAAAATCTGATATGCAGACTAAATCCAAAAACCAATTTCACAGTGGTGATTTTGTCACATTCTCTAATCTAATAATTGCATGCTTCCCTCTAAAGATGCCCATCCAGCTCAGGCACTTGAGCGAAAACATAAAGTGGTAAAGTGACTCTGGTTAGAAGTTAACCAGGCTCAGCAGATGCCTATTAGCTGCTGCTCTCGCTTCCTTTGTCTGCTTTCATGTAACAGTCAAGATAAAAGGTGGGATAAAAGGAAAGAGCATCTGAGTCAACATCTTTCTTGTCAACAGAAATACAAAAACATCAGAGGTTGCAGGACAAGCAGCAGCCTGTGATGTGGGGGGAGCCCATTGAAGTGATGGCATGGGGAGGCTGCTTTTTTTTATACTCTCGTGTTGTGTTTCTATTCATCTCTTTCGGCGCTCTTGATTAAAGACAACACAGCGTGCTGATACACACAGATGCGAGCGCCTGACTTTCCTCTCTCCAGAATTACTTGTGATTCCAGCTGCCCGCGGAGAACAGAAGAGTCCGAGCTCCTAATGACAAGGCGTGACATTGACATCGCTGCACGGCTACATTAAAATAAGTGAGCTGTGGGATGTACACGGTAATTCTCCTCCTTAAATGTCAACCTTGTTTACAAATGCGACAGCAGCTCCAGCAGATATTCAATGAGCCAGCACTCTGCGTATATACAGTAAGTGGGAAGCATATAGCGATTTCCCTGCACCCAAAAGATATCAGCCTTAGCATTTTCTTGCTCTGAGGATACACAGAAAAGGGTGGAAGGGAATATAAAAACGATGACACAAAAGAATGAGGAGCTGGCGGAGCGCAGCCTGAAGATTGTGAGCTATGATAGAGCAGTTGTTGTGAAATTGAATTGAAAGGGTTGGGTGACAAATGTCACAGCGATTGCCACTGGTTTCGGATCAAAGGGTAAATAAAAAAAGATAAACTGCAGTCACCAATGCTAGAGAGCCGAGAAAAACTTGGAATATTCTGCGTGGTCGTCGTCTGCAAAGAGAAGAACCAGGTGTGGAAATTTCCCTAAATAACGTTATAGATTATATTTATGACCCCAATAATAGAAAGAGCAGCACTTCTATAGGAATTACAGCTTTTAATATCACCTTTCAATATCTTTCTGCGATGACTTTGAAAATCGAGGGTGTTCATTTCACACCACCATAGCGGGAATATATTAGAGAAAAATGGAAAGTGTGATTTGACGGGAAGCCCGCCAATTAGAGTCAGAGCCGCAAATACGACACCCGGCCGCCAAATTAGGAAATATCACCTTTCTGGCTGTCGATGACGAAGTTTCCTTCCTCGTTGCCGGCGGTGATGGAGTAGATTATCCCGTCGCCGTCTGGATCTTTGGCCAGAACCGTGGCGACCAGGGTGTTGGGTCCCGCGTCCTCAGAAACAAAGGTTCGATACCTGCACAGAGGAAGTTTAACAAGTGCCAGAAAGTTAATGATGGAAAACACAGAGAGAGACGGCCGGCGTGGATCGTTTACACAGTCCGAAGCATCACCGAGCTGATTAGACGTATGGCTGTGGCTTCTACCTGTCACTATGATTTAACCCGTCCTCTTAGCCGGCCAGACTGGAGACAAATGATAATGTCTGCTGGGATGTTGAAGCCATTGAACAAATGGTGCTTCCACATACCCAACCCACAGTGGGCCGTTTGATCCAGTGCCTTTTAAAATGTCAACAGTGATTTGATTGCTCTGTGGTGCTGGGCAGCAAGATGCCCGGCGAGACACGGGAGACTGATATACCGCTGTGGTACGAAGCACAATGGGGTGGAGATGAACTCTGTGACTAGGAGGACGCAGAGATGAAGAGAAATGAGGAAGAAAAAAAAGGTGAGAGAGGAGCAGGTGACGGGGGGAGAGAGAGGAAGGGAGTGACAGGTAAAGTGATGTGTGGGAGTGAGGGGGAGCAGAGCGAGGCTGGAGGAGGGGGAAGGGGGCGGCGTCCTCACGGAGTTTCAGTTGATTCGTCAGCAGAACTCTTCCCCTGTGAGGTTTGTGCTGGTATGGGTTTCTGATGCCGGTGTGTGTCGGAGGGATGGGCGTCGGTGTCTGTGGCGAGGAGTCAGAGGTGATTGATGGTTTACAGAAGAACGCTGATGGGTGATTCATCTCCGCCAGCCACCGCAATCTCCGTGGCAACATGAGTGACCTGTAATCTGTCACCCGACTCAGAGGCCACCTCTCCGTAGCGCCGTGGGAAGAGACGTATACACTCCCTCTGCTTTCTGCTCCTCATGCGTCTCCCTACGTCTCACTGAGCTCAGACACAGCGTTCTGTCTGTCTGTGGGTTCTCTGCCCGGCCGTCCCTCACTTCAGTGGCGTTTAGCCTCCCCGTGACTCACTGGGATGTGCGCTGAGAGGACATGCCAGGAAACATAAGCCTGTCCACTCGCATGTCCGCGTATTACAATCAGTCTGAATACAGGAATAGTTTCATGAGCGTCGCTCAGAACGCGTCGCTCCGCCTCCATGAGCCTCTTTTGTGCTGTTTTTGGACAATATGTCCTCCTCCTCCTCCCTCACAGCATTTATCTACATCTCAGTAAGCCGCGTTGTGATGAAGCGCCCAACACACCCTACTTGGCAAAAAGCCTGCATTTCTAACTATCTGTCTGCTGCTCCGGCAAGAGCATTTGTCTGACTGTCGACAGGCTTCTCTGTTTATCTGCATATCTGACTGGCTGTCTCCCGTCTGCCTGCCTGCCGTGTGTGTTTTTGGTATTCTCTACTTGCTTGCCCTGCAACCATGTTTCAGCGTGTTGTTTTTTTCCTTCTCGGCTTTCTGTTCGTCTGCCTACATCTCCACCTCTCTGCCCACCTGTTTGTTTGGCTCCGTGTCTAGCCACCCACCGAGACTGACACCTGACAATGCAACACGAGCGGCTAACGGAGGTCTGCAACAGTCTTGTGTGAAGGTCATTGAAACATGACTGACAGGACAAGCAGCTTTACTCGTTTGGGGGAATAAATGCAGCGGAGCCGCAGTGACAGTTGCTGCCCACCCACTCATACAGCTTTGCCAAAAAGGCGGTCGGGGACACACTGGATTGCATCCATATGTCAGTTAGCTGGATACCTTTAGAGAAGGCCAAAAATAAAGCCCAGAGAGTGCTGTGTGGATGCTTGAATTCACTAAAATATTGAACAAGGAACACTTTAAGCAGACCTGCTATGAAACAACATGTCGCCCTTCGTGATAAACGCACCAGGAGCGGTTGTGTGATGCCAGATGGAGGTGATTAACGCTGCAAATGAAATGCGTTGAGTTTATCTTAGTGGTGGTGTTGCTGCAGCAAGTTTTGACACAAGTTGGCCACTATTCCTGACAGGACTCCCAGCATCAAATATTTTTGCGGTGGAATCGCCTGAAGGAAGCAGGTCTGTGATGTGTGATGTAACGGCCCATATATCTGTGATGCAACTCCTTGTCTGCTCACAGAGCAGCGCTTTGATATAATGAAATGTGATCAGCTGGTGGATCAGAGACAAAGCAGTGGAAGCAATGGGAGCATTATTTAAACTTGCCATTTTGGTGACAAACATTGATCTTTGCAGCCGAGCTCTGGTCCTGATTAAGCGTCTGTCTGAAGCAACGTTCACCTACACAGAGACTCCGAGCACACACTCCACATGTGCTGCTTTACTTTTATGTCCACGCTTTGTATTCACATTTAAAATATTCCCAAGTTTTGAAACAGTGTCTGTTGAACGAGCTGGTGAACCTCTGAGCTGGTGAAGGTCAGAACACGGATTAGACCACATGAGACATAACAGACATAAGGGGAGGTGTGGCGGTGAAGCTACTCACACTGTCTGGGAGAACTCAGGGGCTTCGTCGTTGACGTTGGCCATCCTCACGCGGACCGTGGCGGTGCCGGAGTGAGGCTCGTCCCCGCTGTCCACCGCCATCACCACAAACTCGTACAGATGGTTGGGCCTCTCGTAGTCGAGCCGGCTCGCGGGGAAAACCGTCCCGTGGGGTGAAATGCTGAAGTCCGGGCTCAGGGTGTAATAGGTGAGCTCGGCGTTTAACCCCGAGTCACAGTCCGTGGCCAGCACTGTCGGAGGCACAACAGCAGGACCATCAATTAAGAGTTAATGGAAAAGCGCTGATGAGGTGGCATCAGCTGATGAATATGTTGACATCTATGTAGATCATTATCTCTTTACGGCCTTGCTAAACATGTAATAAATCATGAGCTGTGACAGCCACAATTACCAGAACACAAACTGTGCCCTTCCACAGTGATTACCGTCATTTGCCAAAATGAGCTTAAAGATGGAAAAAAGAGTGAAATGAACAATGTGTGAATGTGGAAATGACTTTATTTTTTTCTTCTCCTGAGTTAATTACACAGAGAGACTATAGATGTGTTTCCAGTGTGTGATGAGGTTTCTCTGAGACTACAGCCCAGAACCGGAGTGAGTTTCACTGAAGCTCCCTGTTTCACGCCCGTGACCCTGCAGCTCGTAGCACTTGTGTAACTCCCCGTCTCGTCTTTTGATGTGTTTATTTCCTCTGCGTCGAGCATCAGCTCCTGTGCATGTCAACGCTTCGCCCTCCTTCCTTTTCGGCGTCTTGTAATACATTTCAGGACTGTTAATTTGCCGTAGCCGCTTTGTATTTAGCTGGCAAAATGTGACGGACTCATTGTCAAGGGAGCTGAAATAGTAAATTACCTTTAAACCTCCCTGTCACTAGTTCTCTGCGGGCTTTTTTTTTTACCTTCTTTACCATCAGCCTCAGTGGGTAAAGCTGAAGTGATAGCCTCATTTTAAAGTATTCATCTGTGTCTTTGCCCTGTAGGTGCAGGAAGACGGTATAATCGGAGCTTCACTCCCTCACTGTCTGAAAACTTTGACATTTCATTAGTTAGCCGAGCAGTCCACCAGATTAACAAATTAACTGCAGCTCTGTGTTTCCTTCACATCTTTGCCTCCTCAGTCCAAAGCGGGGGGATTTTTACTGAAGTCCTACCTTCGCCTGGCGTCCCAGCTACAGTCTATTTGTAGCAGAGAAAGATCTCGGCTTCTCACTTTTTACTTTTTCAGCTCTTTCAAAAGATTCCTGGTCTCTGCTCGCTCTCTACCTTTTGATTCTTCCGCCGCTGAGTTTCCTTCCTACCACGCTGGTTGCTTCATCTTTTCTTGATGCATTGGTTTGTATTGGTTGCCATTTTCTCCCACTGCTGCCTCTGCAGGGCCAACAATTTTTACCACTCCAGGCTGTGTATTCCAATGTTTTCAGATTAAATTTGTTCAATTTTTCTCAGTCAGAATGCACTTCGAAACAATTGCCCAGCCAGAGATTTCCACATATCACCTATTGTAGCCTCTGGGGGGAGGAGAGGAGTCCCACAGAACATTTCGACAGCAACAAAGTGAAATGTAAAACAAACACAACGAGAATAACGGAGCATTAGTTTGTATTTTCTATGCAGCTGTAGCCAGACGCTGCAGTGATCTCAGACGTGCAGCGTCTTAACACTCGAATCTCAGGAGTGCAATCAGAAGTGATTTTTTATTTCAGGCAGTAATGTGCAAATACTCTTTTTTTATTTTATTTATGAGCAAACAACTGTATCTGATTTAAAAAACTTAATATATTTCTCCTCTTCCTTCAACACAATATCTCCTTTAATTGGTTTGCACTTTTACAAGACAAGCGAGCGGTGACAGTAAAACATATGCCTTCAGCCTCGTAATTATTAATTATAAGGTCGTCTCATGCTGCTACGGATAAATTGGCATGTCATTATTCATACACAACATAATAAATCAAGACGAACACATGACGTCTGTGTCGCGGGCTGTTTTGTTCGGTGGTTGTGATGCAGAAATGGATGGATTGTGTGTCTCCAAGCCGAAACAAAGACACTGGTGGATGGAAGTGGGGCTTAAGTTTGTCTTCCAAATACATCTGGTGTTTTCATGTGACTTTTTGGATAGTTTCGCTTCAAAAGGAAACAGATGGAAGTCAAATACGGGGTCAGAGAAGCCTCACCCTGCAGCAGCGACGTTGCCGTGGTTACAGTCTCAGGGACTCCATCCACGCTGTAGATGGACTGAAGGAACTCTGGGACACAATCATTCTCATCCGTTATCAACACCTGAACCTGATTAGGGCCGGCGTGGCGAGAGGAGAGGAGGGGAGAGAGGAGAGGGGAGGAGAGGAGGAGAGAGGAGAGGATGGGAGAGGAGAGGAGAAGAGAGGATGGGAGAGGAGAGGAGAGGAGAGGAGAAGAGAGGATGGGAAGTGAGAGGATGGGAGAGGAGAGAAATGCAGGAAAAGAGAGCAGACAAGATCAGATAGGGTAAGGGAGGTGTTTGAAAAGATCAGAGAGGAGGGTGTAATTTAGATTCTGTGGCAGCCCCTACACCAGTGATAAAGTACAGAGGACTGGGAGAGAATACCGAACAGCTGACTGTAGACATTCGTGCTGTACACTTACCAAACGGATGACAGCAGACCTGTTTCCTTTATGACAACATTTGGCTGGATTTGATTCACACTGACGGTCTCCATAAAGTCAGCTGACATTTTTCTCTCTACTGTGTTAGTATCTAAAAATACAGCAAAAGTACAGTTTTCAGATATGTGCACTTCACACACTTAAGCATCTGTATGTTATGCAGCTTTGTACTTATACTCCAGAGGGAAGTAAATAGATTCCGAAGTAAATACAGACTAAATATACTTTAAACAACGCTACATATATTTTATTAATATTGTTATGGTAATATTGTTCACAAAACCTGTTTACACATGGTCGCATGTTAGGAAAACTACAAGGTACAGCTCAATTATTATTGACTCTGGGTTTTGTTCTATCTTTGTATTATTTTAACTTCACACAGCTGTACCACATTTGTGTGGGAACAGTGGAGATGCAGATGGCGTTTTTGTTGGTCTGTTCTTTGCTTTTTTTGCGAGTTTTTGGGGTCCGTGTCTGGTGAGCCGTCGAGCCATGGCTCAANAGAAAGACAAAAATCAGAGCAGAGAAAGACACTGAATGAACTTCTCTTTCTTAAATCCAGAAACAACCATCCGAAATTCTGCGTACAGGAAGCTTGACCCCAAAACTAAATCTAAATTGCATTTTATAGTTCCTCAAGTTGCCAGTTCAACACATCCTTTATCTTCCACTTCATGATTTTCCCGAGTCAAAAATAGAAATGTTCTGAGCATGTGTGTGCCTCGCTGTGTGTGTTTTCCACAAAGGCCCTTAGCCGCCCTCCACCCCTACAAGCTCCCTGTCACCACTGTGTGTAAAGTGTGAAGTGACAGCTGAGTAATAGTCCTGAAATAGCTGGGATAGGTTTTCCCGGTCTCCATCTCCTGCTCCGCAACATGCAGCTGAGCAGAAGCGAGGTTTTTGCCTGCTAAATCTGTGGTACGGAGTGAGTGCCTGACATGATAATTGGGTAACAAAATCTCTGAATTAATAATTTAAAACGAAACTGAATCCATGAATAGTTTATCTGGAAATATTCATTTGTGAATGAAGTTTTCAGATTTGGCGTCGTGCCTCAAAGCGTGCTCTATATTCTGCGTAGTTCATCTCCGGATCACACACTCCACAGAAACCACTTATTGAGACACAGAAACAAAAGAGTGAAACAAACGGCAGGGGAAAGGAAAACAGAAATCACTTGGGCCTCCGGTCCACTTGTTAACATTTCAGAACCGCTCAGCCATGCCATTGCTTCAGACAGCCACAAACGCCGCTGCTCCTCCTCTGTGGCGATGGCCGGGCGGCGCCGTGTCAGCGGGTCAGCACTGGGTTCGGATCATTGACATTAATGCAGCCTTGCCAGCTGATAAGAGCCTCATAACATTCAGATGAGAACTCGTCTGTCTGAGAGCCTGTGAAGTCCAGTGGGAGAGCCCACACGGCGGATCTGTTTTTATTTCCCTTTAATTCACCGCAGTAATTCCTGTTTGACAGATGCAATAATGAAACACCACAGTGGACTCCAGCTTTGGGTTCAGTTGACCAGAGTTCATAAACTCTTGTGTGACTCGTGTTTTCGGCGCCAAGTCGCTCTCTAATTAAACTAACCTCTGTGGCGGCGCTGAGGCTGCCCGGCTCCTCGCTGGCTCGCACCATCAGGAGGTAGCGGCGCTGGTCGTTCTCGTAATCCAGCGTCCGGGTCAGACTGATCTCCCCCGTCTCCTGCCGAATGCTGAACAGGCTGCTGGGATTGATCAGCAGGCTGTAGCTGATTTGCTGCTTCTGAAAGGAAATGGCAAACACCACCAGGAAGCTGCAGAATAAAGAGAAAGCGATTAAAAGAAATGGAAAAACAGTCTTTACTATTTGATTTTGAGCTGCACCCGTGATGAATTAGAATCGAAATCCTCTTTTCCGACATCAGCACTGTGCTGTAATGAAATCAATTACTGTATGGCCCATTGGCTGCGCGCTCCAAACACGGTCAATCAGCGCCTGTCAGCTGTGTGTAATAATGTAATACTATTACACAGATATCAGTGTTTGTTTTTATGGTTAAGAGAGTTTGCATTCTCTAATAATGTGTGTTGATGACATGTCAGTGCCTGCTTGAGCGCACTGCTGTGACCAAAATGAATATTTATGAACACAAGTGGAGTTTGAGGTTCAGCAGCACCTTCACTGTGTTTGTATGCAGGGGGTTAAATTTGGATGTGTGATGCGGGGAGCCTGTGTGGCTTCAGCGTTGCCATGGGTGCAACACTGACATGCAGAGTATTTCTACATACAAAGGCCAGCATTTCAATGAAAGACAATTTGTTGGTGCTAAAGAGTGAAGCTATGATCATTTGACAGCCTGTAACAAGGTCTGGTGTGTGCTGACAACCCCCTGCTTTGTGTGCACAGCGACCAGCCGGTGACAATGAAACCTTTGTGTAAGTGCACTCTGCTGTGGATCGGTCTTAAATACACGGATGGCGACGGTATTAATATGGACGCATTAATATGCGCGCACCAGACTTTTAATGAATGCATTAAAAGGGAAATAATTTACATTCCACAGCATTAAAATGTAGTAAAAACCTACATAATGCTATAGCGAGGACGTGATGAAACTCGCTGGGATTCTCTGATGTTCTGCTCCAACCACCAGCAGAACTTGAAGCTGAGGCCCGTACGTCTGGTTACACAGCATTTAGGAAAGCTGACATCTGTGTTGTTGAAGCAGAATATCATAGCATCTTATATTTAGCCCTTTTCTGACCTATTTCTCTGCCAACCTTTCCATCCATCTACCCATTCCATCAGCACGTCTGACTGACAGAAGACCGGGTTGACCCGCGAGGTCCATTTTGAGGAAATCCATTGATAGTAGCAGGAAAACCCCACGAGACACCTGATGTTCACCAGATGATTAGCTGCTATTGGTCCGGTGTCATTAGATCTGATTGTATAGACAGTACACGCTGCTGAGGCTGAGCGTCATTAAAGCGTGAATGAGAGCCAGACAGCTCCGACCCAACAGAACCAGTCTCTGCATGTCTGCGTTAGTTACTGTAGGAGTGTGTTTGCAGAGATATACGTGTCTGAATTTCAGCAGTTTACATGATCCCACTAAGATGAATGTGTAAAACTATCCTCATGGGAAAGCGTCGGCGCATTCATCTCAGTGTTTACAGAAAATAAGTGCGCTCACAATAAAAAATAAAAATGTCCTTCATTATGTCGTATTCTCCAGCATCAGGCAATTACACATCTTGAGGCAACAACAAAGAATCTGACAAAGAGTGTTGTGAGTGGTGATAAACATATGGGAATGGACTAGATCTGGAGGAAGTCCCTGGCATCGCTGCTGCGCTGCAGGAAAGGACTTCTGAGAGAAAACACAGGCTTTCTATTGACAGGACGAGACACAGTCACTCAGTGGTGGAAGCTGATGGAAGAAGAACATGTAGCTGATGGTGTTTGTCCATGTGGACGCGTGCTGTACTCACGGCTGTCCTTCAGGCGTGTTCTCCGGTATGGAGATGGCGTAGCTGGTGTTGGTGAACTGCGGCGCTCGGGCTCCGGCCACCACCGACAGCATGGCCGGGGCACTGCGGCTGCCCATGCCGTCAAGGGCCACCACGCTTAACAAGTACTCTCTGTCGCTCTGGAGCACCAGCCCTGTGGTCACCACCTGGCCCGTCTTCTTGTCTACAGCAAAGCAGCCATCACCGCCTGCAGGGACAGAACAGCGCCGTTATATCTACAACTGAATCCAAACCAATCCGACGATCCCGACTCCAATACCAACTCAGAAATGGTACTCAGACGCACAGTTTGAAACTGGATGAGGGCGAACAACACGGGTAGAGTTCTCAGGAGATGTTCTACAGTTCTACATGAGGATAAATGCACATTCACTATCAGGCCTTAATTTATTTAACACGACATTTAAATCTCGTTGGTGAAGTTAATAAACTTTTTGACGAGACTGATTCATTCATCCAGTCATGAGAACGTGTTGATAGTACGGTCATTGCTCACCACTCATCGCTCACCGCTCACCGTTCATCGCTCAGCGCGCTCCGACTCCACGCCGACGTAACACCGACTGGATTCACGTGTTAAAGCAGCGCCACTGAAATGACTTTTAATCGCTGCAGCAGATCTTCGATTTTCACATTTATTCTTGTTCATTTGGCAGCTGCTTTTGTCCAAAGCAGTGTACTAATGCGCAGCAGTCGTTCATTTCCAGATCGTAGGAATGAAATTAGAGATGTGAAGCTAATGCATGCAGCAAGTGGAAGCCGAGCAGAGGAAATGGAAAATGGGCTGACACGTTCTGATTAACTGACACATTCTCAAATGCTGTACATCCTGTTCAGTTTTTAATTTCTGTGCAGACAGAAAGTGGTTCAGCATAGTCCTAGTGAGAAAACATCCGATCAGCCACAACAATAAAACCACCGACACGTGAACTGAGTGATATCAGTGATCTCATTAAAATGCAGTGTTCTGCTGGTAAACCTTGGGTCCTGCCATTCACGTGGAGGTACCACACATTACAAAGATCCCAAGGTGGGGATCCAGCTTCCAAACTCCCCAACTCAGCATCTACAGCTGGAACATGTACGATCTGCACAGACCCCGCAACCCACAGGACCCACATGACTGGATCATCCCAAAGGTTCTGTGTCCATGTTGTGACTGATTAGAGTTGATTTGGTGGCACAAGAAGGACATCCAGGATATTTGGCAGGTGGTTTTAATGTTGTGGCTAAGCAGTATATAGTCCGACAAAGAAAAGGAGTGTGAGGAAAAGTGAAAGGTGAAGGGGACCAAGCACAGGTCCTTGAGGGACTCCAGTTTTCAGGATGCTTGGACTCTATCCTTTGCCGTAACAATCAAGCACCTTGTGATATGGTGAGAGTATAATTTGGCATTGAAAACAAAACTTAAACTGTAAAATGAAACACTACAATTTATTTTTTTTTATTTATTTATTATAATTTATTTGTATTTTTAAAAGTTGTATTGGTATTGGGGAGAAAATGTGCTGACAGACGTTCCAGTGAAGAATAAAAGAGTTCTTGTTTTTCAGTGTTTTTCAGTGTCACTGGTTTCAGTTTCAACTTTGTTTCAAAAATTGGAAGATTTTCCTGAAAAATAAAATATTTAAGTTTGAATTTATCTGCATTTTATTTTTCAGTAAACTTTTTCTGTACCAAATATTTTTTCAAATACAAATATTTCAGGTCCAGTGTTTCTTGTAGAAGTTCAGGTTTTGTTTTCAATGTCAAATTAGATTTTGGACTGTGCTGTTAGTGTTTTGAGGCCACAGTCGGGCTGCAGAGCGGCGCTTTGATCAGGACGACTGGTTTGGATTCAGCCGACTTCAATTCTTTGTGGTTCATAAAAAGGTCACAAAGGTGAACGGCTGCCAGCTGATCCAACACAATACGAACTGATTGCTAGCGCTGGAAACAGTCCAACCAGCAAACTGCAATTTAAAGACTTATGTGACGATCACATTGATCGCACATATGTGATCAGTAGATATTGATCTGACGCTCAACTTCTAAAAATGTCAAATTGCAAATCAAATTGCAATCACAATATGTGTCAGAAAGTCACAGACAGTTTCCACTCATGCCTACTGACTGCTGGGCGTTCGGATGTTTCAGTGGAAATATCAGCCTTGGTCCTCAGTCGCTCACATGTTCCAAAAGCAAACATTGACTAAGAAGTCAAGCTTTGAAAATCATTTCCAACCGTTGTAACTCAAACAACCAGAATCCCTGAAGAAGCCTTTTCAAACCGCCAGTACATCTTTTCAAAGCTCACACAAAAGGTTTTCTGTAGGATTTCTGGCATTATGCTGTATGTAAAGGACTATTTACTGATTCATCAGCTGGTTGAGTCGAACCTGTAGATGACTGCGACCCCCATCACGGGGCTTTTTGTTCGCCTCTTCCTTTGTATATCATACCAGTCTGTAAACATATAGATTATGCTCTTGGTGTGTTGTCGGCCGCTGGTTTGCTGTTGAGCAAGACAACAGCTGTTGGTGGCTAAATTGCATCTGCTCTACATGTAATCATGGAGGATTCATTTAACTAGCTAACAATGCTGCCAGCTTGCATCAGGTTAAATGTACATGGACCAGTAATGAACAGACATCATTCATTATCACTCATCAGTCACGATTAATCTGCTGCTGGTTGGCTTATTATTCTCCACATATGTGTCCTTGTTGCTGTCGGAAACTAATTTCTATCTTTAATGTTTAACAACAAAGGACAGAAGTCTGGTTGACGAAGGGCCCAAAAGGTGCCTGAGTTCTGAAAAGTAATTAAACACATTAACTAATGGTATATTAACGAATAAGGACTGCTAGATGGGGCAACAGGAGACCCACATAAACCACTGAAAACACGTTATTAGTGATGAAATTGATGATTTAGAAAGAAATGTTAGTTTAGTGGCGCAGTTGGTAGCACTGTTGCCTCGCAGCTAGAAGGTCTCTGGTTCACGTCCCGGTGAGGACACCCGGGATCTTCCTGCGTGGAGTCTCCATGTTCTCTCCGTGCAGCGTGGGTTCTCTCCGGGTTCTCCGGCTTCCTCCCACAGTCCAGAAACATGTTGAGGTTAATTGGTGATTGTAAATTGTCCGTAGGTGTGAATGTGAGTGTGCTTGGTTGTCTGTCTCTAAGTGTAGCCCTGTGATAGACTGGTTACCTGTCCAGGTGAACCTGCCTTCACCCTGAGTCAGCTGGGATAGACTCCGCCCCCCATGACCCTGGTGAGGATTAAGTGGTGTATACAAAATGGATGGATGTTAGTTTAGTAATGCTAGTTGTTTTGCATATTGTGTAAAACCAAAGCAGAAACTGTTCATCACTACAAACATCAGTGTTTTCACCAGCAGCTTGTTGCCGTCCTCTGACTCCGGTGTCATTTGGTTTCAGTAACTTTAAGTAACTGTCATTTGTGTTAGACTTCAGCGATGGTAAATCTGGCCGGGCTTGATCTGCCTGCAACTGTTGCCTAAAAAAAGCCCAACGCTGGTGTCATCCAGATATATTATGGAGATATATTCTGGATTTATCACAGCCAAACACGGCGTGGAGCGCTGGGAAACAGAGCAGACCTGCTCAAATCTTTCTCTTTGCATACTTATCCTTCTGCAGCCTCAGAAATGGTCACATTTGTGTATTTTTCCCTAAAATCTCTCCACGTTCTGATCCTGCTCTCACATGCACGACACACTATTTTATCTTGGGTAATAGAACATAAACATTTCATTTGAAAGTCATAAAACATTGCAGCCTGAAGTTCTGTATTGCATTTGTGGCTTTGAGAATCATCTGACCTTAGGAGAAGCAGTATCGATGCTCACAGAGAGAACACATACATCTGGGGGCCTCTGCTTCCCCTGATGGTTTCCAGTAGGACCACTGGTTCACTGGTTCCAATTATTAGAACAGTCCACTGGCCAAACACGGTGCTTCTGAATACGTTGGTACTTTTAAAAGCACTAATTAAAACTGAAACAGGAAACAATGATATGAAGTCAACCGGAACAAACTGAGTCCTGAAATATTGGATCAGAGGAACAGAAACACCCGTGAGATGTGTCGACATGTTTAGTTCTGTGGTTTGCAGGTACCACAGCTGGGAGCAGGAGGAGGGCTAAAGGTTTCCTCCAGTGTTGTCTTAAGCAGATTTGAATATGCGTGTGATTAAAATGAAACAGGACCCTGCTGAGAAAGGCAGCGCTTAGTAATTAGGAACCATCGGGGCAGCTTTAAAGGTCAGCAGGAGCCCAGACCAGCGCTGTGGTCGTCTGTAGCAGTGAGATTTGACCCCAGATCAGTTGTTATCACCATACAGACCATATAGAAGACAGATGTGGTGCCACCCACTGGTTTGTCACCACCGTTCTGAGGCCGGGATTTTGGAGTTTGTCTTCACCATCTTGTTTTTCTTCAAACAGGACGTGAGAAGTGAGGCTGTGACTGAGTGATCACTGTGCACACCCATATGCTAGTGGCTTGGTAGCTGCTCCCTACAAACATCCTCTGTTTAGTTCCACTCCAAATGGGACCATCATTTAGCAAACAAACACCAGGCTGTATTGAAGCAGACTCAAAACTAGCGACTGAGACCATAAACTCGTTAGGAAAATGTTTAGCGAGGCAACAAATCAAGTGAAAGTCGGGTCATTCTCCTTCTATACGGTTGGATTTCAGCCACTGCTGTCCATCATAGAGAACGCATCCCTCACTGGCTTCCCTCTCAGGACCGGAGCCGACACACATCTCGTACCGTCTGCTGGATGGTTATTACTTTATTGACAAACTTTTTCAAATTGCTCACAAATTAAACAAATAGGTCTTAAATATGCAGTAAAAAAGGCGTCATAATCATTTCCTTAAGCAGCTGCGCTGTTGTGTCTTGGAAGCATTACTCAGACAGGAGTAAACAGAGCTTTTGTTGGAGGCTGATTTCGAATGCAGATTAATACACATTTGGTTACAGCAGCAGTAAAATATATATGGGAATAACTCAGAAGGAGCCTCAGTGTTCATCGTAATGAAGGAACATATGACCCACTCCAGCAGCGGGGCTCATTCAAGTGTTTTCTTTTTAATCATTTTGGAAATCATCTCGGGGGTCTGCAGCACAGAGGACGGTAATGCATCAGGCAGCAGACACACACACCACTTACTTGATGGGATTTATTGGCAATATGAATCATATGGAATTTATCAGCAGCTTGTTGTGTGTGTGCAGTGGAGAGGTCCTTGTCCTTGACTTCACATGTAGAAGCCGTTCCTGCACAGCATCGTTCACTGTGCTGCTGTTCCTTAAGGTACGGCATCAGGTTGCTCTCTGTGCATTCGCAGCGCTGTGGAAAAACCGTTTAATTAGTATTGTTCGTGTCATCCGGCTGTCGGTTTAGCGCCATTCTGCAGCTCTGCATCCTGACAGTCGGAGGAATAACGCCTGAAGAAAGGTATCAGCGTGCCAAAGGCGGTGAAGAGGAAGACGGCCGGCTCACCAGCACGGACGTAAACAGTGTCCGACTTTAAATATTTCAAACGTGGACTTCACAAATGATTTATGGGGAAGAAAATACATCCAACACGTTTGTCGGACCTCGAGCATGCGAGCGCTCCATTTTGGCGAGAAACACTGCATGTAAACATAAGTTTAGTTTGTTTACAAGAAGACTCCACAGGGTCCCTTTAAATAAAATATCTAAATACTTCTCCTGCTGCTGCTGAAGTGCTGAAAAAAAAGAAGCAGTCAGACAGACTGATCTTGACAATCAAGAGGCAAGCTACTCTCATCCATCTAGAGGTCTTAAGAGTTAAGCGCAGGATAAGAGGGTTACGTAGATATATGTGTGTGTGTGTGTGTGTGTGTGTGTGTGTGTGTGTGTGTGTGTGTGTGTGTGTGTGGTGACAGTAGGTCTGGATCACTCTGAACCGTAACCGTGTGGTTTGGTTAAAGGTGAAGAACCTCGCTGCTCACAAGAGTTCTCAGCACGGCCACAGCGACGACGAACAAGCTCGTGGTGTGGCTCTAACTCGGAGCTGGGGAGCTGTGCGATGTGCTAATGCGAGTCAAAGGGAAATCAGCAGTGTTTTGTAAGGCCCCACCGGCGAGATTAGCACATCCCCCAATATCTGGCACGCCAACAAACCTCCATCCCCTCAACCACCAGGGGGTCCACCGCTCTGGCAGGCTTCCAACAGCCCACTCTGTGTGTGTGTGTGTGTGTGTGTGTGTGAGTGAGAGTGTGTGTGTGTGTGTGTGTGTAAGTGTGAGAGTGTGTGTGTGTGTAAGTGTGAGAGAGTGTGTGTGCGCTTTCTCTGTGCATATGAAACAGAGGGAAGCAGACAGATAGACAAGAGTGCATGATAAGTGCATAAACAAACGTGTGAAGGCCTCTGGCTGTGTGTGTGTGTGTGTGATTGTGCGCGCTGGTGTGTGTTTGTGCAGGACAGAGGAAGGGGGCAGTGATAGCGATGCAGAGGGAGACGGGGTGATGGAGAGACAGAGGAACTAATGGACACCTAAAGAGTGCATGAATGCATGAATGAGTGTGTGAACGCCCGCGGCCGTCTGTCTGGTGTCTGACTGGTTGTATTTATCTATCAGGCTTTGGAGCTTGTCAACTTATTTTAACGGCAGTGCAATCTATTTTAATGCAACTTGTGCACGTGTCGTGTGTGTGTGTGTGTGTGTGTGTGTGTGTATCAGCAGCAGAAAGCTTACCATCCGACAGAAAGTATTCCACCTCTCCGCTTTTGCCCTCATCCCCGTCGTGGGCCTGGAGCTGGTAGACGAACGCTCCCGCCGGGGCCTCGGGGGACACTACAGCCAGGTACGGGTACGGCTTCATATTCCACTCAGGGACGTTGTCGTTGACATCAGTGATCTTCAGCTTCACCTTGTTCAGGTACCAGTCTGGGCCTGGGGGATAGAGCAAAGATAGTGACGGAGCTGCGGTTAATAAAAGTGACAGCTGTCATGTAAGTGTGTGTGTGGAGGGAAGACGAGCAGCCAGGGGAATCCGAAGCCCCGAACAGCAGCGAGTCAGCTGAGGGTACAGGTATGCCAAACATCAATCTGCTCCAGTGGATGGAAGAACATAATGCAGCAAGATTAGAATAAAAGCAAAAGTTTCTCGTGTCTGCGATGTGGAGCTGATACCAGAACCGCTTCGATTCTGCTCAGAGATCTGGTAAAAAAAAAAAAAAAAGTCAATTACCACACTATCTTTAGCGGTGCAATTTACTCGCTATCTCTGCACTTCCTTTTGCGTTGCCATCGCTGCCAGGCTTAGGAGATTGTTGGAAGTGGGTGTCAAGAGGTCTTATTTTTGGGCCTTGGTAAAGGTTGGTGGATGTGACATCATTCATCCTTTTCCCCATCTGGGCTCCCATCCAGGCATCCAGACACCCAGGGCTCCCATGGGAGAGATCCTCAGCCACAGTCTCATCTACCTAGTCTGGGTAAAGCTACCTTGATCTTCCCAGAGGGGCGTAGGGATGATGCCTCAAGGCTGCAGGCACTTTGTCGCCTGCACACTGCCTCACTGAAGTGAATAAGAAGATTCCAAGAATCCAATTACCAACTCTCTCACCCTAAGCCGGGGCAGACAGCAAGAGAGCACAGCAGCGCCCAAAGAGAAGCGGTGTACAACTGCGTGTCTATGACAGCAGCGTAGCGTGACTTTTGCTGAAAGTGATAGCAGGGGATCGTTATCCACATTAACCACAATGACACAATCTGGAAGCTGCGCTCACAGAAAAAACCTCCCGACGCTGTCACCGGCCGCCGATCTAGGGCACTTTCACTGCTGAATTTATTCCTGCAAAGTGGAGCAAGTCACAGACATGTGAGCTAAGACACTATTTCCGCAAATATTGGCTGTGATCTCGTGTCAACGTGGCATGAAGGAATGTCAGAAGAGCTGCCAGCCAGTTCGGTAGGCTCTGATCCACAGAGGCCATCTGCCTCCACCCCAGAGTAGAAGAACCCCCTGCCAGGACAAACAAACACCAACGCATGCACGCACAGATCGCAATACGAGCACAAGGAAACTGACATGCAGGCAATTCGTGCTGTCACACCCAGACACATGTTTGCACACTTGACATGGCTGACTTGTGCACGTCTTTTCTGTCTCCCGTCTCCCGCTCACAAGCACACACCGGTGCACAGAGGTGGGTTACCTAAGGGCTAAAAGTAACTATGGATTTCAAATCCCATTATGTAAAAGGTCTCCTGTTGGTGACCACAGGCTATATATGTACCTTTTAATCCAAGACAAAAGCAGCAGGAGTCTGCGGTGCATCCTCTCACTACCTGAGGGCTGACTCAACAGATGTGTCTCTGCACAGAACAGTTCTACTTTGCTGGTTTCCTTAATCTTCTGTAACATAATGTCTCTCCAAAGTCGATTATAGCTGATAATATAAAACCGTACGTCTGTAATGAGCGGCGCTGCGTACAGCGAGGACTATGAAGTCTTCAAACTGTATGAATTGCCATAACAAATCTTTTACAGCACCTTGTGTTCGCTCAAGTGAGTTGGAAAGCAGAAAGTAGATGCTGAAATCACAATTCCTATTTCTTTTTTAAATGGCTTACAGTTAAGACGCGTTTTTGATGGAAAACACAATGTGTTGCTCTCCAGCCTGGCTGTGGAGTGTTCACAACTGAAACACAATAGCTATAAAGTGTGTGACAGCTCCTAAAAGGATTGTTAGAGGGATAATAACGGAGGGAAGGAAGAAGCTAGAGGAGAGAATTAATCTAGCTTTCTGCTCAGGCTTTAAAGTTGCTCTGTGGAGAGAAAAGTTCTGACTAGGATCTGACAATAGTTCGTTTTGGATAAATAGCCACCGTATCGTGGGGGCAGAGAAACTAATCAATGTTCAGATGCTATCTCCTAAAATGTTGACAGCGGCAATTTATGCACTTTAAGCCAGATCATCCTGCCCTGTAAGACGGAACAATCCTTTGGTGATGAATAATGAGAAAGGATAAAGATTCTATTGCAAAAGTAGAGAGGTTTAAAAGGCACTTAATCAAAAAGAAATCAGAGCGGCGGCACTTAACATTTAGTTGACTATCAAATCTTTGTGGGGAACGGCACAAGACACATTCCTCGCTTCCTGCTTGTTGGTGTCTTTCCCAACCATGTCTCAGTGGTAATGGTGGTGATGATTTTACAAGGCTCCATCTAATTAGCTTGTTACAGAGAGACTAATCAGAGCCAAGGCAGATAATTAGAGCCTATCAGCTCTGGAATGATAATGAAGAATGTAGCAGGGCGTGCACGTGGGCGTGTGTGTTTGCGAGGTGGCAGACTGCACGGCTGCGTATAGGTGAGCGGTGAGCGTGTGCTCCGAGGCTGCAGACGTGTGCGATTTTCTCTGTGATGTGGTGAGTTAAGCAGGAGGCGGCCGTGAGCGATGCCCCGTGAGCACCAAACCGACACACGCCGCCTCACCTGACCGAGACAAAAGATGTGATCAAATAACGAGCAGGGGCTCACGGGCGCCGCTGGATTTTTCAAAGTCAAATATGCTTTCTGCTTCTGCGTGTGATGAAAAACCGACTCTATCCTGTACTCCACAGTCCCATCAGGACAGAGGCGTCTGCAGCATGACTCCCGTCATCATGCAGCAGAGGAAGCTGGCTGACTGCGTTGTGTCGGCCCGGCCTCTGAGAGTGCAGCGGCTCTCTGGCGTTTTGCACATGTGTGTGGATGCATGGCTGCGTGTGTGTTCTGTATCACTGCCAGCCATTCTGTTGATGTTTCTTGCTGTTAATCCTCTCCTTGGGTCCTTGCTATATAAAGCTGCTAAGTGGCTTGCCGGTATTAAAAAAAAAAAAAAGTTGTCTCAAGTGCTTGTGTGCACATATACACTGCCCACAGTACAAGGACAGCGAGTGTGTGTGGGAAGGGGATGAGAGGCAACAGAGTAAAGGAGAGAGGCAGATACAGAAACACAAATATCTACAGAGGCAGAGCGAGAGGGGGAAGAGGCAGGCGGCGTGGTGGAAGGAGCATTGTGTGATGCTTAGCACAGAAACGTAGAATAACATTGCAGAGACAAGAGCACAAGGGAAGCACAACAAACAGCATAGCACAGCAGCAGACGGTGGGAGAGGACGTACACGGAGCCGATCACGAGAGCAGGAAATTACCAACACACCATATAATTAATAACACAGGGCTTCCCTTATGCGTCCCTTGTTCCTACTACTACCATTGAGTGGAGGGAGGGAAATTAAGAAACAAATATTTCTGCGTGGAATTAAACAAACTGCGTCTGCAAGCATAAATATCAATGGGCCGTGCGAGACGTGGAATTTCAGTGGTGCTTTTTTTAAAGCGGCAAGTGAATGGAAAGTGAGATTCAGCTCCAAGGGGGAGTAATGAGGTACATTAACCAAATGTTTGCAGTGTTAAGGAGGCTCTATTCTGAGCCAAGCACCCCTCCCCCACACACACACAATCTCTGTGGTTAAAGCAGAGTGTGAAACCGTCAGCAGGAGATCAACACGCTAAAAGCACCAGGGACTGAAATCTATTAACTCAGGGATCCTGGCACTGCAAACACACACACCGGCTGGACTGGAGCAGCTCAGGAACGGCTCACACACACTCTCCATGTGAACACACGTGCAGCCGCTTCCTCCCCAGAACAATTACAAACAGTGGACGGCTTCAAGTTGTGCTGATTTATTTCTTTTTTCTACTCAAAATCTGCATCTCTGCAGAAAATGCACGTGAAGCAGCATCCAGCAGCTCTGTGCAGGCGACAGGCAGGTTTGGAGGCTGCACACCTCATGGCTGCAGGAAACCCGCCACGGACAGGGTCAGCATCAACGTGTCCAAAAATAACAGCTGTAGCATCAACGTCCAAGTCCTGCTTCACTAAGTTATCTGGACAAACTTGTTTTTATGTGTTTGAATTTAAAAAAAGTTCAGAATCACCAACAAAAGGCGACGAACAAAACATTGACTTTCTGATTTTGTGAGCGACTTCCATTCACGTGAGAGCAGCTGGAGGCAGCAGCGAGCGCTCGGCTATATTTAACACCGTGTTGGCTGCTGAGGGAACTGACTAGTAGCTGTTTGGTCACAAATGCATAAAAACACATTACAGTAAGCTGAATAAACGCATCACAATAAGCAACACGACGCTGTTGTTCTGGGACTTTACTTCTATTTTTAATGCAGCTCTGACTTCCTGAATTGTGGATCTGATTTCTCTCCACAGAAAGAACGTTTGTGAACTAAATGTTCTGCTTGTAGGTCATTTATTGTGCTTGCACGCGGGGGTTCAGACTGATGGCAGTCACATGGACCTCTGTGTAAACCGAGGACCTTCCCCCAGAACCAGTGACTCGTTCTGCAGTCAGTGTTAATTAACGGTTCTTTTGCTGGAGCTGTTCAGTGTAAACTCATCGATTCAAAGGTGGAGGACACCCTCATAAACCAACCGTTGTTATTGATCTCATTTACCTTGACATCAGGAGCTGAATGTCTTAACGGAGGCCTTTACGTTTCCTTAGAAAGCTGCGTACCAGCTCAGACGTGTTGGACTGGACCCGGTGTGCCGGTGCTGCTGTACCCAGCGTGTGACTCGGTTTGTTGAAACAAATTGGTTGTGCGTCCCTCCGGAGCAGCAACTCTTTTTTTCTCTGGCGTTATTTGCATACGGCTCGATTCTGCTCCGGCCCGTGTTGGCTGGAGCCAGATGGACCACATGACCGTTTTGTGCACCAGCTTCTCCTCGACTGCATCCGTGACCGCTTCTGTTTCTCCGACACTGGGCGGATTGTTTTTGTGTTTGTTTTCACGGTGGCACTAAAAGAGAGACGCCAGGACACAGCGGAGCTGGATAGTATATATATAAATATCTGTTTTTGTTGCTGTTGTTGCTGCTGTA